CTCCCCCAAGCCTCCTTGCCTTTTCACCCCCCCCCCACACACACACACACAGGGCAGAATGGGGAGGGTCCGGGAGAGTCCTGTGGCCACCATGGCCCTGGCGATGGCAGGCAGGGAAGGGGTCCCGCCCTGAGCTCAGGGCTCCTCCGCGGGCAGCCAGCCAAGGTCCGGAGGCTGCTCGGATCCACCCCTCCGGCAGCAGCACTCGGGGTCTCCCCAGCCTACCTGCCTTCCGGACCCTTTCTCTGAAGTGTCCCCCATGCCCCTGCGCTTCCCAGCTGCCCCCTCCCCGGCCTGCAGAGGAGGAGGCGCCTGGGAAGGTGAGCCCGAGAGCAGCAGGGCCCGGCTCCTCCCTCCTGCATCCCTAGCCTGCACTTGGGGGAGAAGGGCAGAGCTGAGGCAGCGGATTTCTCGCTTGGTGCCCTTGCCGGTGGAGGAAGGAGAACGATGCCTACCGGCAGGGCTGGAAGGTAGTCACCGAGTGGAAGACTCGGAGGCGAAGACCTAGTCTGACAAAACGGGCGCGCGTGCGCGGTGCGCAGGAGTGCACAGACGCAGGGGTGGGGGCAGGAGGCGGCCCTTGTCGGAAAAGTTGCGATGCTGTGATTCCCCCAGCACAAGTTCCAGTGGCGGAGGGACACATACAGGGCCCCCGACTGCAAATCTGTACCTTCTCTCCTGGGGGGTGGGGGTAGGGGAAGAGTCCACCTACCTATTCCGACCTTTTGGCATCTTATGAAAAAAATTCTCTTTCGTGCTAAACCTCAACATACTTCCTCAAACAACCAAACGGAACTCTTTATCCACAGCAGCATGAACTGGCCGGGAGACTGCGCTGGTTAATGATTTGGCTGCCAGTCTCTGGTGTAAACGCAGAGACTTATGTAGCAATTCAGACACCTATGTCCACTGCACATGCCTATGTCCACTGCCATGGCTAAGTCCTAGGGCTTCCCCACAGACACACGTAAGTCCACGTAAGCACAGATGACAAGGAAAAAGGTCTTAAGAAAATACCAGCATGACCTACCCCTACCTCTGTATAACGACATGGTCGGTGTTCAACAGGCTCATGGCCAACATTACCCAGAAAGTTTGGCTAAAATATGTGATCCAACTAAGATAGGAAAACTCCCCCCTCAGGTATGAACGGTCTAATTTCCCAGGTTACTAGGAAGATATAATCATAACAATGAACGTGTGTTCATGAGTGGATTTTTTTTGTTGTTGTTTTTTTGGTGGCTTAGTGAATGCTGACCTTTGAAGCTTAGCTCTTTCTTGGACTGGCGTGGACAGTAGCCAGGTTTTGAATCTTTGTTGGAAAATGAACATAGGTTGAGTTGTGTTGATGCAGTTAAACTCGGGCGCTTGTCTAGACAAATGACTACCTTCATGTGCATTTGGTTTCTGGACTCTCATAGGACCTGCCTCATGAGGCGCAGAATCCGTGACCCGGGCTAAGTACTATCGTGCGTGTGGAATCATATAATCCCAGCAATAATCCACAGAGTACGTCCTCGTCTCCTCTGAGAACCTCAAACTCTGCTCAGCTTCCCTCTGCCAATATAATGTTTTCTTACAGTCCCTGGCCAGGGCCTGGAGGAGAGTAAAAGCCAAAAGAGGTTCTGTGATTCCGTTGCCCGCGATGTAAACTCACGCCAGAGTTCTGAGAGCACGCTGCCACCCAGGCCACCCTGCTGGGTGAGTGTTCTCTGAGAAGGGAAGCAGACGGCTCGGTACAGGTGTAAGGGTTAGGTGGCAAACAGACATAACTGTGCCCCAGTCCTGGGTTTAGGTTAAGGAATCTGCAACAAGGTACAGCCTCGAGGAGTCTTCTAGACCCTCCTCGGCACCCCTATCAGCTCCTTCGGGCCGACTCCTGGCCCGCTGACATGGTGTATACTCAACAAAACTTCCCTAAGCTCTTCCCGTGCAAGGAGTGCGTGGGTCCCTCTCTGCTTCTGCCAGTCCTCTGCATCTGGACCAAAGGGCCACAGAAAATGGCCCTGCGGGCCTGGGCGAGTCAGGCTCTGGCCCCTGCCTCTGCCTCTAAGCGTCCGCCCACGCCAGCCTACCAAGGAATGCTCACCTGCAGGCTTCCCCCATCACCTCCTCCGGGACTGTGGGCGCACCCCAAGTCCCAGGGCCTGGCAGCCGGGCAGTGCAGCCTCTCCTCTTCCCCGGGGTCCTCCTCGTCTGCCTTTTCTGACACCGGCTCCTCCCGCTGCCCCTCCAGAAAGAGTGGGGAAGAGAGACCGGTGGCCAGGGCATGCCTGGTTTACATTAATGAGATACACCGAGTGTGATCCAGCCGTGGAGGCAGCCCACAAAAGGAGGCGATCGCGGGCGGCCAGGAGCAGGGCTGCTCAGGTAATTGGTTTATCTATCTGGAAGCAGGGGGAGCAATCTCGGCACAGACAGACTAGCAGTAAAGTCTCTTCCTTAAGGCTATTTCCTTTGTCTTTTCAATTGCTTGCACATCCATGTGAGAGAGGGAGAGAGTGTTAAAGAGAGAGGGAGAGGGAGAAATGTTAATTTGTGAATTAATGGCTTTTCTCAGCGGAATTGTAAATTCAAATGTCACCTCACACGGTGACACCACGGCTGGTCTGCTGAAGAAGCAATGATAAGATCCCCCACCTCCCTCGGTGCCCCTCCCTCCCCAAAGATAGCTGTGGAGTGGAACATGCTACTTTTAATTTGCAATAACAACACAACAGAGGTATGCAGTAATGACTGCCTTCTTCCACCCTCCTCCTGGCTTCCTTCCCCCCAGTCCAGTTGGCTCCCCACTTCCTCCCTCCCCACCCCTCTGGTCTTCTGCAACACCACCTCACCTCACCCGGGCTGCCCCCCGCCCCACCCCAGCCCGGGCTTGATACATGGAGGGGGGGGGGTGTGCCTTTGGAATTGAAGGTGCTGCAACCCTCTCTTCTCCTTCAATAATCAGGGAATTAATGACCCTGAAGTTAAAGTGGGGCTGATACCGAGGCCCTGCCCAGCGTTGGGAAAAAGCCTTCATTGTTTTCAAGCAGGAGGCGGGCAGCAGTGAGGGAGATTCATGGATGGAGATTGAATATGCAATTTTCTTTCACCTTGCCAAGAGCTGCCCCTGGGCTGTGCCTGGCCTAAATTTTTCCTTTTACCATCTCTGCCTTATCCGGCCCTCCCACCTCCCTTCCATTCTTTCCAGAAAATTACCTTCAAAATTGATTTCCACTTTTACAAACAAATATAATGGGAACACAGGAAAAAACTTGGGCCGTGATGAATTAGGGCTGTCAGGTGCTTCCAGGTCTCCTTTGCTTTTGTTTTACTACCCGATCCGCTCTTTGTTTTTCCAAGGGCTGGGAAAAGTACCCCCCATCCACTGAGCGCCTGACCCTCCAGGCCACCGGGGCCTCCGCCCCCGAACCCAGCGGTGGCCCATGGCGGAAGTGATCCAGGCCCCGAGACTCTGTTAGCCTCTTGGTTTCCCAGTGGAAGCCTGACCCACCTCCTCCTTCTCTGCTCCTTGGCTCTCAGGAGCCCACTCTCTGAATAGTCTCTAACCGCCACCCCCCCGGCTCTTTCCCCTGACCCCCACACCAGGTTCCCTCTGGCCCCCATACCTCTTAAAGTCCAGACCAGATGCAAACCTCCACCTCCTCTAATGTGGGCAGGATCAGTGTATACCTCGACTAGAGCAAATAAGAGACAGACAGACACTGAGAGATCCCGAAAGACAGGCAGGTAGAAGACCGAGACCCTGAGACTGGGAGACCAGGCTCCTCTTCAAGGGAGGGGCTGTGAGGTTTCTGAGAGACGACTCCCACACAGCCTGAGGGTGTCAGGGTTCCCAGCCTCAGTCTCCCCAGCCTTCGGCCCCGAGCAAACCTGGAGGCAGGCTCAGGACAGCCCATCCATTTGCCAACAGAACGCAAGGTGATGCCTACGGGGCCCTTTGGGCAAAACTCTATATGCACACCTGTGTCTTAGTACTGTGGACCCTTAACACACTCAGGCCTAGCTTCGAGCTCTCCCCGCTCACTAGTACTGGTGGAAACGCACCTGCTCGCATCTGGTCATCTCTCCAATCATCTCTCCATCTCTCCGTCATCACCCGGAAGATGGCACGCCTGCCCAGTGCATGGCGTTCCACACCCCTTTTCACCCAAAGATCTCAGCATGGTAGAAAACACACCCACATTTGCATAAACCACGTAAGAATTACATGGGGCCCATAAAACAACAAACACATGTTTCCCTAGATAAAGAAAGTTACGTGTGGAAGCAGAAATGCACAGCAATGGATGGAGGGAGGGGTGCCTCCACGTTAGAAAAGAAGGGGGTCCTAGATTTATTGAGACACATCTAAAATGCCTGCGGACGCTACGAGATGCCATGCGGCCCCCCCTGGATAACCACAGAGCAAATGACTGAGCAGAGCTACACAAAGGTCCTCCCAAGTCACACAGGCGAGGCTGACATCTCTCCCCCGCTGCCCTGGTCCCATCCAGGTTGGCTCATCCCAGCATTAGCTTTTCCCGCACCAAGATGAGGGAGCCTGTGCCCGAATGTTTCCTTCTGTCATGACTTTATTTCCCCTCAAAACATAAACCTGCCATTTAGGTCTTCCCCCAGAGACCCCCAACGACCCATCTTCCAAGATGGAGTTGACTCAGCACTACCTCCGTGATTTTGTGTAGCCCGCTCTACAGTCCCGTGACATAAGTGCTGTTACCATCTCCATTCTACGGAGGAGACCGAGCTGATGAAGGGTAAGTGACTTGCGCAAGGCCCTAGGATTCAACCCTGGGTGTGCCTCATTCCAGAGCCCACACCCCTCCCCACCGAGCCATGCTGCCCATCCACGCCACTCCGGGGACTTCCTGCTGGGCTCCCCCTGGCATCCTCCTTCTCGCTGGAGGTCTTACAGCCTCCTCTTGCCCGAGGCCGGGGCTCCTGGATAGGGCAGGTGCTGCTCATGTTCGCAGCCTAATCCCCTCATTTGCCCCAAGTCTAACCTGAGCAACGCACTCAGGGACTTCGAGAAGGGAAACTAACTAAGGAAATAAGCCTCTTTTTTCCAGTTATAGCTTCATCCAAAGCAGAAGGGAGCTATTAAAGGCAGTGACAGGACTGAGCCGTTAGTGGCCGTGCAAACCCGTCCTGTCTGCAAACGCACAACTGCACCGGTTTGGCTCCACTCAACTGCACAATTCATTGTGCACCTAATTAATGGAATGCAAAATCACGGCCCCCTGCAATCCCACACATCAAAGGATGATACCAACACACCTCCCCGCACACAGATCAACAGACTCATACCATATGACTTCATTTGGACTTTTGGACAAGTTATGTAACTGTTCCGTGCTTCAACAACACGGATGGACAGCCATGTTTTGGGCTACGGCCGAGAGCAACTGGGTAAAGGCAAAGGTCTTTGGTTTCCCAGCCTGAAAACATCGAGAGGCTGTATCTTCCAGCCACATAAACCGGGGAATGCAACAGTCATGGAAACAGGGTCCCTCCCAAGGACCCTAATATACTCCCCCCGAATTGTAGCCAAAAAGAGGCAGAGATTTTAGCAGGGTACTAAATGGGGATCTACCTTCTCAGACTGATGGACAGCCTGTCTTCTGGATACTTCATGACACAGCTTCCTCATCTACCCGGGCCCATCTACCTGTCCCACTCTGGGGGCTCCTGGACTCAGGTAGGTGGGGAGTGTCAAAGCTTCCTGACTAGCACATTTCTCAAAGGAAAGCCCCGGAATTTTTCCGTACTTCCAATGGCCAGGGTGTGAGAAGGCGTCTCAAGCAGGCTGACAGCCACTGTGGGTTTCCTTTCTCCCCAGAGTCACAGCTGATCGGCCCTTTACTAATATCCCCACAGATATGATTGCTGCAGATACTAATAACGCTGTCCATATTCCGAGTGCCAATGCCAATAACGCTCTGGGTATTATCACTGTGAACACCAATAACTACTGCTGAGATTGTCTCCAATAATGCCAGCACACGCCGCAGTGATTGTCCTCGCTAATGCCCACCACCGTGACATTGTTAGAGCTGAAGAATAGGCCGGACCGTACCCAGAGGCGGGAGCGGGAGTGGTTTCCTTGAGGACAGACAGGCTCACGGCTTGCCCTCGGGATATGGCACTTCTAGAAAGATGCCACAGTGTGTGGGGCCCAAGGAGAGCCAGCCTGGCAGGGAGAGTGGGGTCCTCCGGGAGGAAGATATGCCCCTCCACTCCCCCAAGGTCTAGTCCCTTGACATGGATCCCCGTTCTCATCCCAACACCCCTCAGTGCCCCAAGTCGGTTTTCTCTTAGCCCTCGGTGCTGGCCCAGTAGCTGAAGGACATACCTGGGTGTCTGCAGCCCACGCCTGAGGCTGCCTCCTGCTACTGGCCTGCCAGCTGCTGTGCTACCTTGGCCTGACTGCAGACTTGGGCTACATCATCTTGACACATAATTATCTCTCCTATTCTTAATCATCTGAGCTGCTCCCTAATGCAAACTGGGCCTGGCTGCTTGGAGGCACCCAGGGTGGGGGAGGGGGCAGGGCTGCGAAAGGTCTGCCTTCGCTCTCTCCTTTCCTTCTTCTCCCTTCCACCTGGATCTGACAGGTCAAGTGGGCACCGTGGCCTGGGGGGGTGGGTGGGGGAAGGTCAGGGAGACCCAGCCTCCCTCAAAGGTGCTGGCCTCCACCAGGGAAAGGGCAGCTCCATCTGGTTTGGGGTTAGTCAAGAGAAGCGGGAGTCAAGGCCAGAGAACCGTCGCCCCCCCCCCCAAAAAAAAAAAAGAAATAGGGCCTCTGATACTCTTGTACCCTGGCTAGGCCCAGGAGAGAAGTGTTTAAGCAGGAAGAGACACCTAAGAGTCCTCATTGTCCTTCACCTAGGAGATACTGACTGCTTCCTGAGATGTCTCCCCACTGCCATCACGGTCACTCTGCTGGAGGATGGTCTTCCCAAACCCGGCCCTGCTCTCCTCTCTTCCTGCTCAGACACTTTCAGTGGCTACTCATGCTTGCAGAAAAAAGTCTAGACTCCTTAGAATTGGTCCGGTCTTGGCCTAGTCCCCTGTGGCCCTAACCCATCTACCGAGCTTCCCTCCCAGCCCTTCCCTAGCGCCCTTGCAACTCTGCCAGAGCACATCTGCACCTTCCCGCCACAGCACCCTCTGGTCCTAAGGCTCCCCCACCAGACCGAACTTCACCCTGCATCGTCCCTGCACATGCCCCTCACCCATCGTTCAGGTTCCTCCTCAAAATGCGGCCCTTTCTGCCAGGTTACTCCCTCCTGACTCTGAGTTCCCATGGCCTGCGGCCCAGGCCTCCCATCACGACACAGATATCTGATGGAGCTTTCTGCTTTCTGGGGTCACGTGTTTTACACGCCCCACTAGACTGGAAGCTCCTTAAGGACAAGAATCATATCTTGTTCTGCTTTGGGATCCTGTAGCACCAAGCCTTTCTTGCAGCTGATGCACAGGAAAAGGTTCACTGAATTGAATTGACTTGAAACAATGAATGTAATCAATTGCAGGGAGGAGAGCAGTCTGTTCTGGGCCAGTGGGGCCTGACCCTGGGTGGCCACAGCCTCATGCCAGTGCCTCCCTACTCTTGGCCTCCTCTCATGGCCCACGGGAGCCCGGGAAGCAGAGGGCATGCTTGGCCCCAACTGGGAACCAACAGGGGAGAGCACACAGGGGGTCCTGTGGCCTCCCCCCGCCCTGCCTGCTGGACATCTCACACTCTAAAAAATGCAGGGGCCAGTGGTTAAAGGAGAAACCCTTGGGGCCTGAGGCAGAATCTTCCCAACCACTCGGGGTGCCAGGGCACCTGGCTAAGGCTGGAGTATGGTCAGCCCCCAGGGAGAATTAGGACTTAGGGCCTTTCGCGAGGCCTCCCCCTGCCCATCGAGGGTGGCCGCCAAAACAACCACAATGAAATTTAGTGAGTGGCAAAGGCCGTGGCAGCCAAATGGGTTTGGATATTTTGGAAGAAGGAGAAATAGAGCCAGACAAGCTGTTTCCCTGTGAAACGAGGCCATTAGGGCTTCTGGAAGGAGGCCAGCACCAGGTCATCACTGTCTTGCCAGACCTAGGCCTGTCCTGTCCCTTCCGCTGGAGGCCAGGGCTTTCACACTCTCTTTCCCCTCAGCCTGGGCCCAGGGAAGCTCAGTTTTGTTCCTTTTCTCTGTTCCTTACCCTCTAAAGCCGCCCCAATCAAGGGCTTGTCTATGCTTGGGATGGCCACATGATTTATTGCCCAAACAGGACATTTTTGAGAGAAAAAGGAGATGCTGACTGGCCAAGATGCAGAGACAAAGGGCATAAATTGGGACTGTCCAGGCTAAAGGGGTATGCAGTCCCCCTGTATGCTCATCTCTAGAGGATTCTATTTCACGGGAGATTCTCTAGACCTCCCTAGACCAGAAGGTTACTGCTTCCCCAGCAGGGACCATGAGACTGGGGCAGGAAGCAGGCTTGAGACACTGGTGTCTCCGTTTGTCTGGGCTGGTCAGCCCTGCGCCCTGGGCTCATGCATGAGAAGAGCACCAGATGGTCACCAAGGGACCCCTCACATCCCAACATTTGTAAAACACCTTCTCCCAGGCCCATGGCCACCACTCCCTCTTCCTGTATCCTTTCCCCTCTCTTCCTCCTCTTCATTCCTCCCTCGCCTGAACTCCCTGCCTACCAGCTGGCTGCACTTGAGACATTATAGGGAACGGAAGGGAAGGGACAGAGAGGAGCCTGAGTGGTGTCTCCTCCCATAGGGAAGAAGAGTACAGAGGGCCCGTGTCCAGCTCAATGGGGGGCAGAATCCACGTGTCACAGAGAAAGGACACTGGGGTCAGCTGCACGTGACATCACGCCCCCATCTTTTGAGGGGTTGGATCAGGTAAGAATAAGGCAGATCGGCCCCTCATCCTTGGGTCAAAGACCAGCTGCCCCCCAACTTCCTGAACCCTCCCAAGGTACCTGGTTTGTGCTTCTCCCCTGGCACCCCACTGGGATATTAGGGGCAGTCCCGGTGGAAGGTGAGGCCACCAAGACTGCTGAGCAGATGGTGAAGCTGATGGCCCCACCAGCAGCCTGCCTCCCTCTCCAGGAGCCAGCAGGGCAGTGGGGGGACCTGGGCTTTGCTACTAAAACTGATCTCCCAGCAGAGCAGCTGCGAGGCCGGGCCGAAACCGGAGCCCTGAGTCCAAGGACAAAGCATGCACAGGGAAGCCAAGCCTCTTCCCTCCTCCCTACCTTCATCACGTTTCCTCTTCTCACCATTGGAGCGAGGGATCCCCAGGATCCCGTTGATAGAGTAGGATCCCACTGGATCATTGGAAGCGCTGGAAACAGGAGGGGAGGCCGTACTGGGAACTGGACGAGAGTAAGGAGGAAATGCCATCAGGATAACAGTTGTGATCACAGACCAAAGCCCCGAGGCTGGGGGCAGAGAGAAGCAGAGGATTAAGAGGGATGGCGAGCCCATGTTCTCCTCCGCCCTCTAAACAAACCCCAGCTCGCTGCCTCTGGTCTCCTGGGCTGGCCTTTACGTATCTCCTTTCAGACGCCACCGTGGCTTTCTGAGATCTGTCTCTCTCTAGGAGACACAAGAATGGCCACGATATTCCCCAGGAGGGCACAGCTCCTCTCTCCCAGTTGCTTCTGGTCTTGAAATCACTTGGGAAGTTCCCAATTTCTCCCTCAGGGCACAGACTAGTGAAACCATTCACTCTGCTCAGGTACAGCCCGGCCCGATCCTCCCTCCCGGCGCACGTCGTGACACGGCCTCATGAACAGCGGCTCCTGCCAACTTCAGGAGGCCTGGGACCAGCCATTCTACTTCCTGCTGGTCAAGAGATAAGGGGACAGCTTCCAAGAGGGGCAGCAACAAAAGTATAATCACATTTCAGCCCCTTAAACTCCAGGCTTCATCTATGGCTGCAGCACCACCAAGCACCCTTGGGTCAAAGGGAAGACAATATGGGAGGGGGTTTTATCTGGTGCTCTGGTAGGCCTGGGTTGTGTCTCTGAGAGGCCATGGCCAAGGATCAGTAAACAAGGAGGCTGGAGCAGCAGAGAGTTACAGAGGGGAGGAAGGAGAGCCAGATCAAGAAGAGACAGGCTAAGAGGAGAGAAGCTGTGAAGAGCGAAGCAGAGAGATGCGAACAGATCCAGAGCCACACATACAGAGAGGAGAAAAGAGAAAGGGAGAGGCAGAGAGAGGAAAGGAGAGAGAGAAGGGAGAGGAGGGGAGAAGAGAGAAAGAATTTAAAAAATTTTAAAAAGGCAGTAAGAGGGTAGATAGGAAAGAAAAAGGGGCAAGTGGAGACAGAATCAGATAAAAACAAAAGATGAGGAAGGGGAAGGCAGGGAGAGAAGAAAAGCCAAAGGAAAAGCTTGATTTAGAAGGAGACAGAGACAGAAAGACAGACAAGGCAGGTACAAGGTGTTGTGCGCAAGAAGCAAAAACAGTCCTGGTGAGCTAGTCTCCTGGGGAGATCCCCACCTCTAGGAGCTCAGGGAGAGCGTGGGCTGGGGAAGGGGTCCTGGGGCCTCAGCAGGCATGCCATTTTGAAGGGAATGGGGGTGGCGTCCTGGCTCTCCTGGGTGGGCCCCCGCTTCCTCCCTTCCCTGAGCCCTCTTACCAATGGTGTGGCCAGGGGCAGTCACTCCCGTCCCAGCCCCATCCGGCGTTGGGTGGAAAGGCTGCTGAACTTTGGTCCTGATGATCCTGCAACAGCATCACGACAGCATCACACATCACGTGCCTTCTCCTGCCTGCACCAGCTCCAGCCCAGCCCAGAGGGGCTCGCCCAAGCTCCCCAGCTCCTTCCTCATGTATCTGTTCCCTGCACCCCTGCCCTCACTGACTGCTGCGAGGCACGCACTTTCCCTCCCACTGGCTCTGCAGACCCAACCTAGTGCAGCTGGACAGAGGGAGTCTGTATTCTCTCCTGCGGTGTGCATCATCTGAATTGCAGCTTGATTTTTGGTAGCAAGGATTGGGGCAGCAGAGTGAGTGGAGCACAGCATCCTTCCCCTTTCTGGGGGTGGGGGCTGCCCTGATGGCTTGCTGTCCCCCCTTCCCTCCTCAACCACACGCAAACCTCCTCCTGGGAACAAGACTCCCTTGTCTAGAGATCGTTTTGGAGCTGCTTTTCCTATTGGGACTGTATCAGTCTTCTAGAGTTGGGGGGGGGGTGGAAAGTGAGATTTTCCTATTTCTTGGGCTAAAAAGAAATAGCCCGGAAAGGGCTGGGTCACAGATGACCCTTTTTGTCCCAGGGAATCCAGCATAGCACATGGTCCCTTTGCCAGATGTCAAGCCCTGAACAACTCCTTCCTGAGCCCACTTACTGTCCTATCTCTGCCCAGCTTGCTGCCCCAATGGCCTGCTTTTCTGGGGTCTTACTTGGACCACAGCTTCTTTTCCAGCCTAGTTGAAAAGCCTCGCACCCACCCTGTGCACTTTAGGGGTAGAGGGCTGGATCAAATGTCCCAGGACTGGGGATAGGCCTGCTTGTCAGTGGTCTGAGAAGCCCGGGGCTCAGACGTGCAAGAGACCAATGCTGGGGCCAAGACCAAGGAATGCTCTCCTCCATCCGCTAGTCAAAATAGGCACCCTTGAGGCAATTTCTCCAATGGCATTGCTCCTCCCTGCAGAGTGGCGTGTGAGTCAAGTTCACCCACACTGACCAGGTGAGTCACAAACCATGAGCAGACTCCACTGTAACCAGGTTTAACCGAGCACCCACAGGCAATAGAGGTAAGGCACCTGCCTCACAGTGCTGGAGATGAAGTTGGGGAGGGAGGACACACACCCAAAGAACGCAAAGGAGCCCCGAGGGGCCAGGCCGTAAGCACTAGAGGGAGGCAAGGGAGGAATCCAGCCACCTTGCAGGTGGGGACTGGGAAAGAAGTCACTGAGGAGGCAGAGCTTCATGTAGACCTTCAAAGCAGCACAGGGCTGAACAGATGAAGGGGCCCAAGGCACGGAGGAGAGTGATAAGGGCACCGGGATGCATGGCCGGGACCCTGAGTCCTGCTTCTGACCCTGCCATTAATCGGCCACCATAGCTTTGGGCTCATCATTCTACTTCTCTGGGCCTCAGAGGTACATCACTCTACGTTTCTGGACCTTTACTTTTCAGTTGTAAAGTAAAAAAAGGTTGGACGACTACAGGATCTCTAAGGTCTCCTCTGCAGTGAAAAAAATAACATGGTTCTTTTTTTTTTTTTTTTTTTAATTTTTTTTTTCAACGTTTATTTACTTTTTGGGACAGAGAGAGAGACAGAGCATGGAGCAGGGGGAGAGCCCCAGAGAGGGGAACACAGAGGCTGGGAGAAACAGCCTGGAGGCTCGAGCCATCAGCCCAGAACCCGGCAGCGGGGCTGAACTCATGACCCGAGATGGGTGACCTGGCTGAAGTCCGGACTGTGCCGACTGCGCCACCCAGGCGCCCCAAAAATAACATGGTTCTAAGGTGAACAGAGAAGCCGTGGCAGAGGGGATGGGTAGGGACCATTAAAAGTAGGTACTGGAGGAAGACAGAAGCGAAGCATGGGAGCCGAATGAGCTTTAGGGGTAAAGCCCAGACCAGCCAGCCAGGAGCAGTGGAGGTACAGGAGGAAGCAAGAGGAAATAAGGCTGAAACCTTGGAAGTGACGACGATGATCGTGATTTTTCCATTTGCTGGTCATCTATCATGTGCCAACACTATATGCAATTTACATTACTTACATATGCTACTGTTCATTCTCCCAACAGCCTCCAAAGTAGATACTATTATCCTCGTTTTTCAGATGGAAAACCAAAGCTCACAGAGGTTAAGTAGCTTAGTCAAAATCACACTGCCAGGGCAGAGTCAGAACTCAGTCTCTAGGACGTGGGCTTTTTCTGGTACTTTGTCATACTTCTCCCAACATACAGCAAGCAGGTTTAGAGAATCTCAAGCCATGAGTGATTTCTAAACCAGAGGGGACACTTGCAGACAGATCCTGGTAAAGCAATATACAGGCGCAAGGTCACAGGAAAGAAAAGAAAGAGTCTGTAAGACGTCATGAAGGCAGAATGGCCGACTGGGCACCTAACAGGAGTCCAGCATGGCTCTAAGAACCTAATTCTGTGTACCTGGAAGGCTGGTGGTTCGTACCACTGTCAGGAGGAGGGACGCAGGGAGGTGGCGGGTTTTGTCTCAGACACGCAGTGTTTGAGGTGGGAGGGGGGTGTCCAGCTGGCACAGCACATGTGGATTTAAGAAACCATCAAGGAAAAAGAGCGTTGATAGGGACAAGAGGCCGAAGGAGTGGATGTTGGAGGGCACTGACTTTCACAGGCTGGGGGAAAGAACCTGACCTTGCAGAGGGGTCAGAATTGGTTACACTGGAAATGGCAGAGCAAGGATTGGGCAGTTTCACCTAAGTCGACGGAGAAAAACGTTTCCGGAAGGAGAAGATAATTCGCGGCATCGGTGACAATGCAAAGGTTGGAGGGAACTGGGAATAAGAAGAGGCACAGGTTTGGGGATTTGGGGGACAGAGGTCTCAACAAACAACTGGAGCAGGAGCCAGACAGAAAGGTTAGGGATTGAATAGGAGAGGGAGTCAGTGAAAGTAGATTCCTGCCTTCGGGAGTTCGTAGAAAGGAAGAGAGAAAAATGTGGAAGCCGGTGGATAGGACTGACAGCTGAGTGGAGGGAAGGCTGGGTGGGGGAGGAAAGACTTGGGTACACTTGCAGGCTGAGGAGGGAGAACCAGAGAAGAGGGAGGGCCTGAAGTTGCCTGACAGAATGTGGATGATGGAGAAAGCGAGACAGAACAAGGAGAGGTGCCAGGGGGAGTTGGTGAGAGATGGTGCATTTTGAGGTGGCCAAAAGCTTCGAGAAGGAGCTTTTACAGTTTTTATCTCTCAGCGAAGCAGAAGGGAAGGTCATCTCCCAAGAGTTGGGGGAATGTTTGGAGCGTGATCACAATGGGAAAGATGGGACAGTGGCTAAGGGCGATGTAGGCGGGTGGACCGGAAAAGTCTAGAAGGAGGCTGTGTATACAGCTCAGAGCAGCCGCTCCTAATTCACTGCAGCAAAAGCTTCTGGGATCTCACTGGTCCTGCTGTGGGTGGTTCTGGCTTGCGGGCTGATGAGCCCTGGACTAAGGGAGCCCCAGGGCTGGGGCTGGTTGAGACAGGTAACGAGATGGCCTTGTGGGGTCTCTGTCTTTGTTACCCAGAGCCTCTGACCCCTGAGGCACCAGTGCAGATTCAGCTGAGGCAGCAAGTGATAGAAAATCACTATTCCCTCACGGGGGCTTGGTGGTGCATGGGACAGGAGCTGGGCGGGATGCCTGCCGTGAGTTACTAATGCTCCTGGCGTCCATCCGTGCCCCCCAGGCAGTGGGCACTTGCTAGTCCCCAGAGCTGCTCTCGGGAAATTTAAGAACTGAGATCGCGGGTCCCTGGTAGTCATCCATTGCCCCCCTGCATCCTGTACACAACCCAACAACTCGTGGGAATATCACCACAGCTTAAAAGGATAAAGTAAAGCACTGCTTTGGGTGATTGTCTGGCACTGTTTCCCCCTGTTGATCTTCCTTCTCTTCCGATCTTTTTCATTCTTGGCACGGCGAGACAGCCAGACACATCCTGGCCTCCGTGGCCCCGGGCAGGCTTGGCCTTCAAGTCAAGTCTGCAGGTATGGGTCTTCGGAGGGTGCAGTGGGGGTGCTGGAGGCCATAACTCTACTCAGGGGAGCTGAGAAGCGCTGTTTCCTGTTGCCATGGGAACACGTCAGGACGCCTGCTCATCACTTCCCTTTCTAGCATGTTCTCCTTCACAGGGATGCCCTTCCTCCTCCACCTTTCTGGCTTTGCCTGAGCCCAGCACGGGGACTTTAGGCACTTAGCAAGGGTGCGACTAGGGCAAAGGGAAGAAGGGGATGGGCTCTGGGCTCTGGGTCAGGCTCGGCTCTGTTACTTAACTGCCTGTGAAACCCTTGGCAGTCTCTTACTCCCTCATCTGTAAAATAAGATAATAATACTACCCACCTCCTAGGACTGTGGTGAGGATTAAACAGGATAACGCATGTAAGATGATTTGTATGATGCTGGGCTCAATACATGCTAATGTTGCTAATAACAATAATCACGACTAGTAGTAGCATTATGAGTGACCGCCAGGACTGGCTGCTTTCTCTTTAGGGACTGAGCCAGGTACGGGCAGGAGGCCTCTCAGCCCAGCACGGTCCAGCCTGGCCAGTGTAGCTGCTATGGCGGCCCTGGAAAGGGCACTGAGAAGACAGGAAACACCAGTGGCAGGTGTCACAGCCTGACCCAAAAAGAGGTGAATCAGAGACACTCTCAGGAAGATACATTAGGGTCCTCTGCCTGGGAGCCCCAGGAAGGGTCCACAGACAGTATGAGCAGTAGCTTCTTCGGGACCCGGTAGATGCCAGGGAGCTGTGGTGGCGCTTCGGGGTATAGACGACAAGGGGTGGGGGGTGAAGCCACTCTTTCTTTGGTTAAATTCCCAGGAAGCCTCCACCTCCCACCGAGCTGGAGATCAAGACAGTTTCATCAGCTCTGTGAGTTAGAAGGAGAGCATGTAATGAGACTCCCATTAACAGTTTGTTAAACTCATGAAGAAACCGAGGAGCTCTCAACATTCCAAGAAAGCGCCGGGGACACTCTTACCCCTCCGCTGGCTATCTTCCCTCTCTCACTTCTTCCTCCACCTCGCAT